TATATATATATATATATATATATATATATATATATATATAAATGTATAAACGGACATTGTATATAGTAGATATACTATAACGGATCCGCGTCGTGTCGGATCGTTAAAAAATAACAACGTTTATTATTATCACAATCAACATCATCTCACCGTCATCATCATCATCATCATTATCATCATCATCGTCGTCGTCGTCGTCGTCGTTATCATTGTCTTTAATATTATAATTGTCACTATATAGTCACGAAACATGCTACTGTTGCTAATTAACGTCGCTCGTCGTGCACATTGATTTTTTTACGTGTCTGCGGGCGTGAAACATCGCTAATTATTTTCGTACATCTGCGCGCGTGATTACAACGAGACGATCTGTTGTTACACGAAATCGAGCAGGTCCAGCGATTTGCACAATGATCCAATTGTACAACTTAATTTCAAACATATTTGATTGTGTGAAATAGTTCATATATATTGCATACATATACTGTGATCTACATCGCATCACTTTCCTTCTGGAGTAAACATTGTCTTAAGAAAAATGTGATCGAAATTTAAGGCAATTACGAATGCAAATACGTTAAAAATTTAAGGCAAATTGTTAGATCACGCGCGTATCTGATATCTTCCTTGCGTCTCACTTCGCCTTCATTTCACTTTGACCCCTAGCTCCTAGAGTCGTGGACCAAGTTATAGCGAAGATGCCGACGAGCACGCGCGCGAACAGAAGCGGATTATACTAAGATAAGGGGAGAAGCGCGAATAAAAAGAGTTCCTAGGGCCGCGTATTTGTTAAGTGCGCGGACGACGATGACGAGTGAAATGAAAGAGGGAACGAGGGACAAGGGAAAGAGAGAGAGAGAACAGAAAGACAGAATATATTCTAGACCGGGGGAGAATCGAAAAGAAAAGGATTCAGGACAGGCACGAAGAGCACGACGAGGGTGGGTGGGAGGCTTTAGACTCCTGTTTGTCTCAGAAATGTTTGTAGATAATTACGTATTAATTATGTAGAGACACGTGGCCCCCACCCCTCTCCTTGCATCTACAGCATCGTTGTCGGTTGATTTGATTACTCGCTCGTTAAGTTAGCGCAATAGACAAATGAACAGAAACATTATTGTAGTAATAGTTATTACTAGTTATTATAATTAATAATTATTATTAATTATTATTATTATTATTAATTATTATTATTAATTATTATTATTTCATTATATTTTAACTTTTATTATTTGAAAATAAAAATACTAGAAAAATTTTAGTTCCATCGGTATTATTTTTCGTTTGATTTTTTAATCCCGTTCCCTTTTTTGTTCTTTCCTTAAATATAATTTTCGTTTAAATCTTGGTGAGAAGTCAATCGACAGATTATAACATTAATAGAATGATTTAAACTTTTGACTTCTTTTAACTTTTAAAAGTTATCGTTTTTATCGTTGCGACCGTAATGTTGCGCTAAAAACATGTATGTTCCTCCTACCGTCCCGTCACCTTCATATTCTGTATATACCACCTGTATATACACACACGTACACACAGTTCAGTAGCGAATAAATAATACTCGATGCGCGCCATTTACGTCGGTAAGAGCCAATTTACGATTAGATGAAATAAAAGGCGGAATCAGAGATGCAGCGCAATGGAGCACGTTTTAATTCGGAATTAAAATTCGATTTATCGTTAGTTGTTAGCTGTACATTAATAAAATTTGTTTGCACGATGATTTTCATGAGATATTCTAAGCAAAATAACTTGTTAGTCATCATTAAGAGCCATTCTTTATAAATGTACTCATCAAGAAAATTGGAAGAAAATAGACAAATGAAACGAGCTATTCGATTCTTTGCTTTTTATCTTTATCTGCGTCGTAATTGGCTTAAGGCGGTCCTAGATGTTCGGTAATTAGGAAGAAATGCAGCTACAAAGCTCCGGGTATACCAATTAGTCGACTACTCGTAGGAGAGTTTGCAGTTTTCTCTATGTAAGACGCTATTGGATACTTAAAATTAGGAAAATGTTAAACTTCAAGAACACTGTGCCGAAATTTAACTAAATCTACACAATTTTTTCAATATTTTAAAGTACGAATTTTATACATGAAACGGAAAAATGTATGATATTAATGTTTAGAAATTGATATTTTCTCCAGATATTTTATGATTATCCGTATGTTTAAATTACTCATACATAATTTTATATAATATATTATTTTTATTAAGAAATATATGGAGAATTTCGATCTTTTCTGATTTTGAAATTTTGCATCTTCGCAATTTAAAGTATTCAATGCATGTCGTCTTCGTGGGGGGTTATAGAATTACCATAGACTTTACTAACGTTCGATGTGTAACACGTTATCATGAGGCGCATAACATAGTCGTGTAAGAGTAATACGCGAAGAGCACGGTATGACAGTTCTTAAAAATAAAAAGACGTCGTAATGAACGGAGACTACCGTTCGAACGAGAACGAAAAATCGTTTGACTATTTTGTACTAAGAATTATCAACTACGTCGAACAAACGCGATTGAAAACGATGTCACAATTCGCGAATGTTTCTGTCGGCGAACTGTAATAATTAGACGAATTTCTTGCTAATGAGTGTCTGCGCCTGTCGCTTTTCATTCTTTGATGAAAAGGCGATTTTTGAGGGAAAAAACGAGAAAGAAAGATAGTGCGAGTGAGAGGGAGAGAAAGAGAGAAAGAGAGCAAAAAAGACGAGAGCGAGAATAATATGCCGATGGTGTATAAATAAAGTCATATCAATCGTAAATAGTTCGTGTTATCTAGATATATTACGATTATTACAATTATTATTTATCACAGTATAATTAGCCAAAGATGTAATTGTATAATAAACTGGATCATAGATAATCCCTATCGTCACCGATGCTTTTAATAATTTCGATGCACAACGGAAAAGATTGCGAAGCAATTGCAATGTTCAATACTATATTCTATTGGTTTAACGTATTTTAATAGATATTCGATGTTATATGATCACTTTCTTTATAAAAGCATTCACAAATTCTTGGAATGTCCTTAGGCTGAAAGTAAGATAATTGATCCCTGAAGCCTCTTAGGGATTGCTCCATAAAATTACAAATCATAATTTCAACAGAAATTATAAAAATTATACTTATTATTAATTGATATTATGTATACAAATATTTATTTTGTATTATGTATACGTAATATAGTAGTAGTATTTTAGTTACGTAGTATTTTGGTTACAAATATTTATTTTCAAAATCAATTCGTAAAGTAGTAAAAACAAATTAAAAAACAAAGTAGTAAAAACCGATTTGTTAAGTAGTAAAAATAAAAAATCGAAGCAAAAAATGACGGATCCATCACATAAACACAATCGAAATATCAGTCTTAAGAAGCTCATCTGCAATCAACATAAGTAACAATCGTACAAATCGTATTAACGTAGAGTCATGTCTTGTCGACTAATAAGCCCCGAAATGCTGATGCGAAACTGAGATAAGACACTAGATATACGAAATCGGAATTTTCATGATAAACCTTTCTACTGTAACGTCATTAAACGATCGTTGTGATCGTGAACATCACGCCTTCGCGAGAATTAAGATTCGAAAGGTCGAAGCAGTACTGACAGATAGACCATCACGTAAACATACTCAAAATTTCAATAATAAAAAATAATTCTATAGTCATAATAAGCATTTGCCGTGTAAACCGCATTAACTTAGCGTATCGCGTTTGTGAGTAATAAACTTCGAAAGTTCGGCGCGAATCAGACAGATGAAATTCCAGGTGCGCGAAAACAAAATTTTCACAATAAGAGCTTCTTCTATTGTCAAAATAAGTAATTGCAATGAAGATCACGTTAACATAGGATCTCACGTTTTCATAATAAATTTCGAAAGTTCGACGTAAGTCAGACAGATGAAATTGCAGGTGCGCAAAGATAAACATTCAAAGACAAGAGGCTATTCTATTATCAGAATAACTAATCGCTGCGAAAATTATATAACGCGTTCTCGAGTAATAAGTTCCACAATTTTGGCTCTGAGACAGATAAGATTGCATTTTTTCGCTTATCACTATTTGGATGAGGAAACGGACTATACATGGCCCGAGTGATATCACGTTTTGCCTATCGATTCTAAAAAACTTAAGTGAGTTGGCGGCATTGATCTCAACCGATTAGCGAGGAGCGATCTAAAATACTTGATATAATCATCTAAAAGAATCGGATTCTATATATCATAAAAACTTTGAGTATGACTCATTTGAAAGCTAAGATTTTCCCGCATCTGTCTGAATTTAATCACGAAAATTTGTAACAGGCCGATTAAAAAATGCGGAGTCATTAAATAAACACTGAATAAATCAGTGACAAAAATTGAATGTAGAATCAAACTTACTGTGCAGTTTGTTTATTTACGTTGTTGTACGTGTTACCGAATTATTAATTATTAAAGTTATAAGAGTGATTAAAAATTGACGAGTTTGCATGGATACGTAATTTAATTTAATACTGTGCAGACTACTTTTTGTTTTACCTTATTCTGCGTTCTGCGTCCTAGCTTCGCAACTGAACATCTTAGTTTTTGGTTTTCCATCGTGGCACTTTGAATATTCACTTGGAGGTCATTAAATATTCACTTAACCTTGATATTAGTTCGTACACTGACACTGATATTGAGCATTTTGACTTCTGGTTACTTCGTCGGGACACTTCGAATATTTGCTTATGGCAATAACACGTACATTCGAATATTTGCTTATGACTATAACACGTACATTCGAATATTTGCTTATGGCAATAACACGTACGTCGGACGAACGCGCGATATTTTTCTTGGAAATCCTGACTACCTGTTTCGTGACATACTTATTTTGAACAATTATTAGTTATTTCGTGACGATAAACGCGCGAGATTTACTTTCGGAACTTCCGGCGATATTCGCGTATAACATTCTCTTTCAACGGTTCGGAGAGACGAAAGACAACGACTAACGGTTCTCGTTTTAAAGTATTACTAACGTACGAACATGCGATACATTTTTCAAAACTTCCAACTGTCCGTTCCGCGATACATCTATTCCGAACACTTTTTCTTTATTTGATAACATTTGATATCGATCACGATAAACATGCAACATGTACTTTTGACGATGATTCAAGAATGAGATTCGCATTTGATAAGTTGAAATTACGAAAACGGAATAATTTTTTAAATATGTTATTTTTGCGGCGTCACGGTCCGTTTGTAGCCTCAGTGTTATAAATTCATGCATGAAATACATTCTGGTAACTGAATTAAGCGAGCAAATAAGGGATCTAAGAGTTCGACCTGTTAATTCTGCGCGCAACTTATATGGCTCCTGT